GGGCTTCCTCCCAGCATGGCAGCCATAGGCTGGTAGAACTTTTCACATGGAAGCTTGGGACCTCAAGACACAGGAAGTGGAAGGTACCGGTCACTTTAGGCCTGAGCCTGGACACTGGCACACTGTCACTTCAGCCATATCCTGTGGGTCAAAGCAGTCATAAGCCACCCAGATTCAAGGGGCGGGTTCACAAACCACACCTCTCAACGGGAGCAGTGTTAAAGAACTTGTGGCCATCTCTAATCCTCCACAAAGGGTAACCAAAAAAGAGAAGGCCTGGGGAAACAGTGACTTGACTATAGAGGAGATGCAAAGGAAATTCCCAAGATAATGGTGAAGACAATGGTAAAGCCAGTCCAGACTAAAGCCCCAGAAGGAGGCCTCCTGGCTGGATGTGTCTGTGGGGGGCCAGGAGGAACAGAACTGCCAGTTACCTGACAGGTTTGACCAAATGGAGAGGAGTGCAACTGTTCTATCCAAAAGTGTGGAGGCCAGTGAGTGATGAGTTTATACAAAACTAAGCAAATGAATAAAAGGGGCAATTGTTAGCCCAAGAGAACACCAAAAGTTGTGAAAGAAAGGAAATTAAATATGGTACATACACTAAGGGGCATGGCTGAGAATAATACTTACGTAGTCACAGCGATGTGAACACTGGATACTGATTTAAGTAAAAATGGGGATGCACGGATTTGGGGGAATAAGGAAAGAAAGTGGGCGTTAGTGGGAATCTTCATTTTCTATACAAGTAAGTCATTATATAATCAAGAAGTAGCTGCTTACGCATGCTTCTAAGGAAATAGAGGTAAATAACTAAGAATCCAATGAAAGACTTGGAAGTGTTTGCCAGTGAGGAAAGGGGATGAGGGATGAAGGGGGTGGAACAGGGGTGGATGCTTTTCACTCCAAACCTCATAGTATTTTTTGTATTAAGTAGGTTCATACATTATATCATGAACATAAAAATTAAATTGTAAAAGAGCAAGCTATAGGACAAAACACATAGCATGATCTTTTTTATATAAGAAAATGTTCGCATGTATATGTGAACTCATAGGAAAATAGAAAAAGTAGAAAAAAAAACCCTACAACACACTAAAGTATTCAAAGTGGTCGGAAGACCAAAAGTCCATCAACAAATGAATGGGTAAACAAACTGTGGTCTATCCATGCAGTGGAGTCTTATCCAGACTTGGAAAGGAAGGAGATTCTGTCATGTGTCACAATATGGACGAACCTTCAGGACACTCTGCTAAGTGCATAAGCCAGACGCCAAAGGACAAATATTGGATGATTCCACTTATGTGAAGTAACTACAGTAGTCAAATTCATAGAGACAGAAAGTAGAATGGTGGTTGCCAGGGGCTGTGGGGAGGAAGGAAGGGGGAGTTAGTGTTTAATGAGTAGAGTTTCAAACTGTGAGGATGCCGAAGTTCTGGAGATGGACGCGGGTGATGGTCGCACAACACTGTGAATGTACTTAATGCCACTGCACACTTAAAAATGGTTAAAATGGTAAATTTTATTTTCTGTGTATTTCACCACAATCAAAAAAGAAAAAGTGGTTGGGGGAGGGGAGAGTTTAAGAAACTTTCACGTTTTCCATATTATTTGACTCTTTGCAATGAGAAGTTTTTCATGAAATACTTGCATGTATATATAAGACTGAGGGGAAAAACTAAACCTTTGCAAAAGTTAAGGAAGAGAAATGTGCATTGCTCCAGGGAAGGAAAGAAAAGGCAGTGAAGAGAAAGAAGGGGGCGGGGGAAACAGGCAGGCCCAGCACAGCCAGGTCATGGAGGGGAGCCCTGAGGAAGGGTGGTGAGGGGGTCTTGGGGGCCCAGAAATGTCTAGTGGGGCCTGTAAGCCTTGCATTGTGCACACCCACTCGCCCACCAGGCCCTCAGGAGAGAGCTCCGGTTTGCCAAGAAACAAACTCAAAAACATTTTAAAAGCTTATCTCATTTCAGATGTTGCTTTTAAATATTCCCTGCAAACCCCAGGGAGGAGCCTCAAGTGGCCCAGAATCCTCGGGGGTCCCAGTCAAGGGCATGCTGTCCTATGCACCGCAGAGCAGGTGTGACCCTCAGCAGCCGGGGCATTCCCGGAGCCTAGGGGACCCTCCACCAGAGTAGGGACAGGAAGGACTCGGCCTGGCAAGCTGGTCTTGGGGAGAGACGGGAGACCTTGGCTGTGCCCACACCACACCTGGGGAGGCGGACTAGTGGATGAATCCCTGCACTGAGGGCAGCTATGATGTACACAGAAAACTGCACAACCAGGTTTTTGTTTTTTTGGAAGCAAACTGTTTCCTGGGCTCTTATGTCCTGGGAATGCCAGACCCTGTACAAACTTCCCACTATACACACAGCACTCACACTAATGAACCCCACCCCCTCCCATACCTACTTGAACTTCAAAGGCCTTGGGAGGGGAGACCAGCCACAGGAGGCCTCACCTTGCCTCAGTGAATCTGTGGCTAGAGAAGCTTTATTTCTGGCCTCCCATGGAGCTTTTTACTGCAGCAGAATGTTAAAAAAAAAAAAAAAAACATCGAGAAATCAGGATCACTGTCTTCTAACCCCTGTAAGATCAAATCTGATACAATGTGAACTTTCAAGCAGATAGCACAATCTTTAATCACTGGGGAAAAACAATATGAAATTTAGGCTCTTATTTCAACTGTGAAATTATGAAGTCAATAAGCAAGAACTGGAGAGAATGGAAAAGTGTTTGTTAGGGTAATTTGTACCTTGAGAGAATGGAAAAGTGTTTGTTAGGGTAATTTGTTCCTTTTTTTTTTTTCTCTTTTTTTTCTCCTTTTTTTTTTTTTCTTTTTGGTGTCACACCACAGCCAGCAATACTAAATAGCTACTCAACAGTCTATAAGTGTCCCAACAATCCAGCAGCACAGATATTATCCCCATTCTTTTGAATCAGCAAATATAAGCTCAGGAAGGTAAAATCACACTTGATGACAATCACACAGGCAATAAGCTGCCGGCTGGCTTTCCAGCCCCCGCCTGCCTTACCCTCTGTCCCTAAGCAGACCATTTAATTCACAGCAAAGAACCTTCTACAAGGCCCAAATCAGTAGTTTGGATATTAGCATTCTTTCCCATCATTTAAACTGCAGTTACCTAAACTGAAAAGACAAAGAGATGACAGCCCATGAACTAAACTGAAAAGATGGAGGAAGACAGGAAAAGGGATGTGACAGAACTAAATATGACTTAAAGCAGTAGGACCTCCTTGCCCTCTGAAAAATTACTGAGGCCTCCACACAAAAACCTGCACATAGATGTTTATAGCAGTTTTATTCATAATTGCCAAAACTTGGAATCAACCGAGATGGCCTTCAGTAGATGAATGGATAAATAAACTGTGGTTCATCCAGACAATGGAATACTATTCAGCAAGAAAAAGAAATGAGCTATCAGGCCATGGAAAGATACAGATGAAGCTTAAATACATATCACTAAGTGAAATAAGGCAATCTGAAAAGGCTACATACTATATGATTCCAACTGTATGATTGTAGAAAAGGTAAAACTGTGGAAACAGTGAAAAGATCAGTAGTTGCCAGGGGTGGATGGTAGGGAGAGAAAAATAGAGCACAGAGAATTTTTAAGGCAGTGAAAATACTCTGTATGATACCAAATGATGGGTACATGTCCACAGGAAGTACACCACCAAAAGTGAACTGTAATGTAAACTGTGGACTTGGTGATTATGATAAATCAATAGATTCATTTCTGGCTAAAAAAAAATACACACACACACACAAACAAAAAAAACACACAAAAAAACAAAAAACAAGTACCATTTTGGTGAGTGATGTTAATAATGGAGTGGGGGGCTATGTCTGTGTGGGGACAGGGGTTATATGAGATATCTCTGTACCTCCCTCTCAATTTTGTTGTAAACCTAAAACTGCTCTTTAAAATTATCTTTAAAAAAATTACTGGGGGCCCCAAATATCTATTGGTATTTATCATTTCAGAAATTATAACAGAAAAATTGCTCAAATATTTATTAAATCATTTGAAAATAACAGTATTAAAATTTAATTAGAAAAGTGGCATTGTTCTGCATTTTTACAAATCTCTTTCATATCTGCCTTAAAACTGCTGGAGTCTCATATCTGCTTCTGCAGACATGTTGGAAAATGATACATCATGTAGTCTCTGGGAACTACCACTGTACACTTGTGAGAAAATGAGAATGAAAAGGCCAATAACTGCTTCATATTATTACTAAAATAATTTCTAACTTATGAAGCTCCTGGGACAGTCTTGGGTACCGCCCGGAGTCCCTGGACCATGCTTTGAGAATCATGACATAAAGAACTAGGTGTGAGAGAGAAGGAAAAAGAAGGTGGGGAGACACTCAAGGGCACACCCACCATCTCACACCTGTCAGCTTTCACCTTCCCTAAGCTCCCCTCTCCCCAATGGGTACCACCAGGGCAGAAACCGCGCTTCCTGGCCAAGTACAGGCTGCTTTTACTCCAAGCATCTCCTTCCCTCTCAGCCCAGCTCAACCTTGAGACATAAACTAAACGTGGGCTAAGTAGTTAATCTTCCTTCGGAACATACTGGTGTTCTTAACTGGAGCTTTCTTAAACTAAAACTCCAAAGCCTGATTCTAAAAGTGGGCTTATCAGTCGGCCTGAGATGGGGTCAGCCGCCCAACAGAGCACAGGAGAAACAGTGCCCATTGAGACACAACGGTTGAGTTCTGGTCCTGACTGGCCGGTCCCTGGGTTATTTTCGCCCGCTGCAAACTTAGGCGGCACCAAGCCCTTTGCCCACTTCTCAGGGCTGTCCTGGCATCAAATGACCTCGTGGACCTGAGCCCACCTTACAACCCAAGCACCCCAGCTGCTCTTAGGCTGCACACCTGGACTCCGCAGGGCCCCTGGGAGCCTGCCCCACGCCGACGACCAGATACACCCTGGGCAGAGCCAGTCCACCCCTGTGACGGAAAAATGCCCTCACTTCCCGGCAGGCACGACCCGAGATGACGCTGTTCTGCCCCCGTTTCCGCGCTCCTGGTGCGGACAGGGTTGCACAGTGGCCCTGGGCGCGCTCCACTCCCGCCTCATCCTGGGTTTTCTGACCCTTATTCCCTGCAGGGGTGGGACACGCGGAGGCGGGGAGTCAAGACACAGGTTTAGAAGCAAGGCCGATCCTTCCAGCCACCACTCTCGGCCGAGCACCCCGCCCGCCGCTGCGGGGGCCCACCCGTGCACCCCGACTCCCGGTGTAGGAGGGAACTCGGCGGGCGGAGAACACCTCCGGGGGCAGATGAAGTCGCCGGCTCTGCTGCGCCCACAGGACTGGGGAGGGCAGTTCATCATCTGCCAAGTCGGGAGGGACCTGCTTCTCGGGCACAGCACCCACACCCCCAGCTCGCCCTCGCCCGGGGCGCACCAGGAGGGCGCTGCCCGCAGGGACGCGCGGGGACAGAGGGGATGCGGCCGGCGGCGGG